AAACTCTGTAAAATGGTATTTCTACCTGTTGGTTTTGTTCCTAAATAAGTGGTAAAAAACTCTGTAAAACGATATTTCTACCTGTTGCTTTTGTTCGTAAACAAGTGATATAAAAACTCTGTAAATGGTGTTTCTACCTGTTGGTTTTGTTTGTAAACAAGTAATATAAAAACTCTGTAAAATGATATTTCTACCTGTTGGATTTGTTCGTAAACAAGTGATATAAAAATTCTGTAAATGGTGTTTCTACTTGTTGGTTTTGTCTGTAAACAAGTGGTATAAAAACTCTGTAAAATGGTATTTCTACCTGTTGGTTTTGTTCGTAAACAAGTGGTATAAAAACTCTGTAAATGGTGTTTCTACCTGTTGGTTTTGTTCGTAAACAAGTATAAAAACTCTGTAAAATGGTATTTCTACCTGTTGGCTTTGTTCGTAAACAAGTGGTATAAAACTCTGTAAAATGGTATTTCTACCTGTTGGTTTTGTTCATAAACAAGTGGTATAAAACTCTGTAAAATGGTATTTCTACCTGTTGGTTTTGTTCATAAACAAGTGATATACAAACTCTGTAAAATGGTATTTCTACTTGTTGGTTTTGTTTGTAAACAAGTGTTATTAAAACTCTGTAAAATTGTATTTCTACCTGTTGGTTTTGTTCGTAAACAAGTGGTAAAAACTCTGTAAAACGGTATTTCTACCTGTTGGTTTTGTTTGTAAACAAGTATAAAAACTCTGTAAAATGGTGTTTCTACCTGTTGGTTTTGTTTGTAAACAAGTATAAAAACTCTGTAAAATGGTATTTCTTCTTGTTGGTTTTGTTTGTAAACAAGTATAAAACTCTGTAAAATGGTATTTCTACTTGTTGGTTTTGTTTGTAAACAAGTGATATAAAAAACTCTGTAAATGGTGTTTCTACCTGTTGGTTTTGTTTGTAAACAAGTGTTATTAAAACTCTGTAAAATTGTATTTCTACCTGTTGGTTTTGTTTGTAAACAAATGGTATAAAAACTCTGTTATTGGCGTTTCAACCTGTTGGTTTTGTTAGTAAACAAGTGGTATAAAAACTGTAAAATGGTATTCCTACCTGTTGATTTTGATAACTTGTAACAGCAAAGAACAGGGTTTCTGGAAATGTAAAAATCTTTACTTGTGAAGTTTTATCACTAGAACTTTCTTTAGAAATCTGGTTGATACATATCATAGGCTGGTACTTGTGCATAGAATGTACTACAACCTGAAAATAAACATTTAAAACAACCCTTAGAAAAACGTATATGTTCAAAATATAATCAAAGACAAAATAACAAGCCTAAAGCTAAAGTTTTCTTTGGCAGAAGCAAACTAGAATTTAAAACAAACTGGCTATGAGCATCAATAGTAATATATTGTTACGTATCTGCTTGTTTGTTAATTTCTGGTAGAAATTCTTTCCGAAGAACTTTAGCGATACAAGTCCTTTCTTAATTAAAACTAGTTTATTCTTTCTCGTTACAAACTTTGTAATACACTTAATTTCCACAGTCATTTTCAACTTAACTACTTTTATAAACACACGCTATAATTCACAGCGATTCACATACTTTATTTACGGTGCCTACTGCTCGCTTGACTCGATTAACTGTCTCTATATCTGTCTATCTGTAATTATTTGCCGGGCTTATATACTAAAATAGAGGGCACCTAGAAAAGACTAGAGTTGTCAGGAAAAGTCACGATCATTCGAGAATCTCATGACGTGTTACCAGCGTCACGTGACTTCCGCTGTCGTAACAATATGATAGTACTAGTGGTACTGTATGGTAACTCGTAATGAGTATCTCGAGCGTTACTGAAGGCTCAAGTGTTTGCCAGACGTCCTCTATTTTGTATATATAAGACCGGCGAGAAGTGACGGCATAAATAATTGAATAGCAAACAGGGAGATAGAGACAAATAATCGAGTCAAGCCGTAAGTAAAGTGTGTAAATCGTTGTGAATTATAGCATGTGTTTAAGTTAAAGTAACTGTGGAAATTCTTTGTATTGTAAAGTTGTATTGAGGAAGAATAAGCTAGTTTTATTTAAGAAAGGGCTTGTATCGCTGAAGTTCCTCGGGAAGAATTTTTACGGGAAATTATCAAACGAACATAGACGTAACGAATTGGTGTCAGAGAGTGTGACGAAAAAAAAAAGAAGCTGGAAACCAGAGGTGGCAAATCAAACTACAGCTTAGCAGATTTGATGGCGGCAATACAAGAACAGCAAAAGAAACAAGAAGAACGAGAAAAGAAACAAGAAGTGAGATTACAGCAGTTGTTGGAGGAAAAAGAAAAGAAACAAGAAGAGAGATTACAGCAGTGGCAAGAAAACCTGAAACAATGGCAGCTCGAACAGCAAAATAAACAAGAGCTATTACAGCAGTTGTTGGAGGAAAAAAAGAAACAAGAAGAGAGACTACAGCAGTGGTTGGAGGAGAAACAAAATGAACAAGAAGAGAGACTACAGCAGTGGTTGGAGGAGAAAGAAAATGAACAAGAAGATGGATTAAAGCAGTGGTTGAAAGAGAAAGAAAATAAACAAGAAGAAAGTCTCCAACAGTTGAGAGAAAGCCAAAGTACACAAATGGAAAACATTAGTAAATTTCAAAGTGAATTAAATACATTAAAGAATGATTTACTGTCTTTTACACAAGGAGGAGATATTAGCCATCAACCTAATCAGCCTAAGACAACAGGAAGCCCCATCCAAGACTCTGCAGCTGAACCCTAATGCAGACATCTTCAGTCCTGTAAGAAGTCACATCCAAGATATGAATGTCAGCAATAGGGGTGATCTAGTACGAAGGAAGCCACAGGAATTCGATTAGAAGGCACCATGGAAAGCATATAGAGCACAATTTGAGCTCCTGACAGAGTTGAATGGATGGACAGAGGAGCAGAAAGCAGTATATTTGGCAACGAGCTTGAAAGAACAACCACTGGAAATACTTGGACAGTTGTCAGCAGACGACAGGCACAACTACAGAGCACTGGTTGCGGCTCTAGAACTCAGGTATAGAACCCAAAATCAGTCTGAAGTCTACAGGGCTAGGTTTAGGACGAGAGTCTGTGCTAAAGGGGAGAGCTTGCAAGAGCTGGCATAGGATTTGGAAAGTATGGCACACAAGGCCTACCCAACTACGCCACCCGATCTCCTCAAGTTTTTGCTGAGGGATCAGTTTGTAGATGCCTTTGACAGTCCACAACTGAAGATACAAGTAAAGCAAGCACAGCCCCTACTATGCAGGATGCAATGGCCAGAGCTCTTGAATTTGAATCCTACGTTAAGTCCAACACAGAGATACCAAGGTTGGTACAGTCATCAGGTTTCAAGGCCAGAAAAGGGCAGCTTTCAGAGAAATTTGAGGGACTTTGCTGGCACTGTAATAAACCTGGGCACAAGAGAGCTCAATGCTGGCAACTTCAACAAAAGGAAGGTGCCACAGCAGGAAAGGCTGCTACCCAGAAAGGTTGTTGGAGCAAAAACATATGAGGAACCGGTGTAAGCAGAATAATACCTCCCTCAGCACCAACCACTACTGGTTTCCCGAAGCTGACTTATTCGCCCACCAACCCCTATCGTGAAGGTCCGAACAGCTAAGTGTAAAATGGCAAACACGCATAGTGTCTACGTGACAGGGAAGCTGGATGGCCAAAGGTGCAACTTTGTCATAGATTCTGCAACTCAGCAAACCCTTGTGAGCATCAAAGTGTTAGATCACAAAGGAGTACCAGAAGCTGTACAGAAGCTCTGTGGTGTGACAGGACATTATGCAAGGTTGTGGGGACCAGTGTGGGTAACTACTGAGCTCATGGGCATGAAGTACAGACAGAAAGTATACTTGGCTGACATTGAAGACCAATGCATATTAGGATTGGACTATTTACTACCTAGGAAGTGTGTAGTTAACTTCGATAAAATGACGTTTGTAAACAACAAAGGCCAGATTCCAGTAAGTGTTGCTGCATCCGTTGATCTGCATGCCACAGCATTTAAGTCAACTACAATACCTCCTATGTCAAAGAAGATAATTTGGGGTAGAATAAAAGAACATCCCCAAGGAAGCCCAATGCTTGTGGAAGCAGTGGAAGACTCATCCAGGCCAGCAGATTTGAAGATTGGAAGGTCACTTGTGGCAGGTTATCAAGTAGTACCTATAACAGTGGCCAATTTCTTTAAATGTGAGCAGAAACTTAAGGAAGGAGCATTGTTGGGTGTGTGCCAGGAGGTAGAGCCAGTCGATGTTAAAGCAAAAAGTACAACTATAAAGAAAGGACATACACTTCCAGAACATTTAACTGACCTCTATAAGAAGAGCATAGTCCATTTGGCAACATCACAGGCTCTTCTGGTAAAAGAACTTTTGACAAATTATGCAGATGTCTTTTCGAAAGGAGATCATGACCTCGGCTGCTCAAACCTTGTAGAGCACAGAATAAACACAGACAATCACCATCCAATAAAGATCCCTCCGAGGAGAATAGCTCCAGCAAAGCGACAAGAGATAGAGAAGGTCATGGATGGTCTAATTAAGGAAGGGATAGTCGAGAAACCAGATAGTCCCTGGTCAGCTCCCGTCATGTTAGTTCAAAAGAAGGATGGGACCCAACGTTGCTGTATGGACTTCAGTGCTCTGAACAGTATAACCGAAAAAGACTCATACCCGCTGCCAAGAATTGATGATACTCTTGATGCCCTAAGTGGAGCCAGGTGGTTTTCAACTCTGGACTTCAAGTCAGGTTTCCATCAAGTAAAAATGGCTGAAGCAGATAGAACTAAGACAGCATTAAGTTATGGCCAAGGTCTCTGGCAATACCGAGTGATGCAATTCGGGCTTAATAATGCTCCAGCAACATTTGAGA